AAGCTGTCATTTTGAAGTAATCAACGAAAGAAGGCAGTTCCAACGGTGATTCTTAAGAAGCACCGTAGGAAAATTTAAATTAGTAGTTCGTTTGTTATTCAGCGCAGCGCGCACAAGTATTCGAACGACGCACACGCGCGCGGCGGTTGTTATAATTCGTCGGATCAGTGCGCGACGTCGCGTATAGTTGCAATTCAAAACAATTCAAAACATGATTCAGCAACTTTTAATTTGAAATTGAGATCTTAGAATGCTGTTTTTTCTCGGAATGTACAGCTGAAGCTTAGCTGAAACTTCATCAGGTTAGTTGCTCAGTATCCTTCATTAGATTTTGAACTCTTTTGTTGCTTCAAACGAACAAAATGCACAAATTACAAATGATGGACTACACCTTTAAGGACTGGAATGTATTGATGCAGTGTACCAAATTGACAAGGGTAGGCCGGGACTGTGAATGTTATTTTCAAGGGGTTATGGAATAATAATGAAAATTGAAAAAAGTACAAATACATATACATGTACTTTGAAAATTTAGATGGTAGTCAAAAAGTCCTCCCCAAATATAAATATTTTTAGAAATCACTGTACTTGTTTTCCAAAATGGCATATATTTTGTTCCCAAATCAGCGAGACTAGAATTGGCGGACATTTTACTCTAATCTTTTTTTTTTTTACAGGTTGATTATTCAACAACTGCAGAAGAATTAGAGGAACATTTTCACGGCTGTGGGTCTATCAACAGAGTCACAATCCTGTGTGATAAATTCACTGGTCATCCCAAAGGGTAAGTTAGATTAGACCCGAACCCATCTCCAAGTTATTCCAGGTCCAAGACTGAATTTGGATTTTATTCCGCCGTGGACTAATCGTCACAATCAACAAGATTAATCAAATCAAGTCTTGGGAACTTCGGCAGTGCTACCCAGGGGATTAAACTTGCAACATGATTTAGTCATAAGGACACAAGATGATTTTTTTATTGTACAGACTGCAGATTAAGAAAATCAAAAGAAAAACAATTGTTATTTGATGATGCCAAATTCAGCATGATTGCGTTGAAGAATGATCTATAGGTTTTGCATGCACATACCTTGCTTAACTTATGAGTTTTAGCTTTGTGTAGACTTTAGATCAGGCTGATCTTGGCAAGGTTTAACTCCAAGAGTTTGACTTCAGTCATAGATAAAAGGAGGCCAAGTCTAGATTTGAATATTGGCTTTTCACCTCACTGAGATCTTTTGCGGAAAAAAAATCAGGTGGAACTGGAATTAATGACCTCATGCCCTGCATTAAGATAAAAATGTTGGTAAACATGTCAATATACAATTTTTTATCACCCTGATTCAAAATTCCATCTTGAAGTCAAGCCTTTTACCAGAAACAAATCTATCCATTCAATGTTTGAAGTAAGTACGTACATGTATACTTGCTTGAATCTTAAGTGTTATATGTGAAACAATGTTGTTTTGCAGGTTTGCCTATGTTGAATTTTCCGACAAGGATATGGTGGAGCCTGCTCTAGCGCTCAATGAATCCCTATTCAAAGGAAGGCAGATCAAGGTATGCAACCCATCTTCACAACAATTCAACACGTTAAGCATTGCTAAAAGAATTCCTGATTGGGCTCATTTGTTCAAGACAAACCGTCTAATATTCATTATATGTACGTACACAGAAGTTAGAAAAGAGCTGGTATTATTTTGTTCATTACGGAGGCTTTAAATCTTTAATTTGTACACAGAGTCCATATCAATTTGTGAAATGACTTGAGGCTTATTCAAAAGGCACCTGCTTCAGCAAAAACAATAGGGAACAAAAGAGGTCAGTGTAAATAATCGAAAAAAAAATCCTTGTGTGTTAATTGTCTAAACGTTCCTCCTTTGCACACCAGGTGAGCGCTAAACGCACCAATCGTCCTGGTATCTCTACGACAGACCGCCCAGGCCGGGCTCGATTCCGCGCTACCGGGAGGTCAGCTTACCGTGGTTACAGTCCCTATGCCAACGTCTACGGTGGCTACAGGCCAAGAAGATACAGGTAATGACACAATTATAACAATTAGATTTATTATTATTATTATTATTATAAGTTATCAATCCATAAAAGCTACATGTAGCACAAAACAGTTACTACAATGCATAAGTACATCAGAAGTCAGAAAAAAAAATTTTCTTGGAAAAAAATGACTTTGTGTTCCTCATGAGATGTTACTTGCCATACTCTGTGTTTCTCTTCAAACGATTCCATTTTCTTCGTGTTTCATCAAGCACATTTTATGGGCTGTTCGATTGAAAGAACATACCAATAACTTTTTAATGCTTCTTAATTTACTTTTGCAAAATTGAATTTAGAAATGGTGCATTTTTTGGGTCAATAAACATGAATGTGTATTTCATTTAAGAAAAAAAATCTTTGATATCAAGCTGAAGTGTTGCTACCCTTTTTTAGTCCATAAACTGCAGATTTTTCAGCGATAAACTGTACCTGAAATAAAAGAAATTTTGGTGTAAACATGGTAAAGGTTAATTGCCAGTATTTACCATGAAATGGATGCAGCAACTTTTGTGAAAGGACCCAATGTAAGCTCGAAAAGAAAGTCTCAAAAACATGATCCAATCATTTCATCATCAGGTCTGGATCGTCACTTGAACATGTTGAATAGGATAGTTGGATCAGGACACAGGTCACTTCAGTAGCCCATTTTAGTGGAATTTATTTCTGACTATACAGAAATCCATCACAGGGCTGTATTAAAAACACTGGCAATTTCTGGCGCTTGACAAAATCAGGCAATCAAAGGCTGTGTTGTGTCAAGTTACTCAAGTTGTGTCTGGTTGTATCAAGTTTTTAAATACATCAGACACAACTGCCCAAGAATTTGTGAATTTTGGTGGATTTCTTTTTTTTTTGGGGGGGGGGGGGGGTTGAGAAATCAACGAAAAAAAGGGTAGCTCCAGGGCTGCAGATTTTTATACAGACATATTTTCTGTTTATTGGTTTGTATTAAGTAGCTAATCTGTCAAGAGTGTTTGTGTGTGCTTTATTTGTGTTTTAATCAAAATTTCTTATTCTTTTTTTGCACCAAGGTATTTATTTAAAAAGTAAACAATAAAAAAACATAAAAAATAAAAAAAATAAAAAAAATAGAAATAAAAAATAAAAAAATAAAAAAGAAGTAAAAAAAAGATTTAAAAAAAAATGAAAAAGAATGAAAAAAGAAAAGAGAGAAAAAAAAGAAAAGATTAAAAGAAAAGCCAAATGTAGGTCCAGCTGTTCTCGTCATGAAATCCTGTGAGTGGTGGCAGATAAGATTCACAAGTGGTAAGTGACTGACAGTCCTCTCCTGGATGCAAGACGGTGATTTAGCAATTTGATTTTAGACTGTACGAGGTGGAGTCTCTATATTAGAATGAGTTTGCAGTTGCACCGTGCAATAATAATATTTGTCAAGAGACACAGCACTGTAAACGTGTAACCAACAGCTCTTCGTGTTTTGACAGTGACATCACAGGAGCAAAAGTAATCTCTCAACGCTCAATACAAAGTGTGGCTTTACCTTTTAAAACACCATTACCAGTCTGACATGTGTATACAATTGTCTAGCCTCCGAACATAATTTCACAAATAATCGCTTGAAGATTTATGCTGAACAAGATGTCAGTGGTGAAAATGTACAATTATGGTATTAAATCCGGGGTAACTTGAATTTCTTTCAAATTTGCCGATGTCTGAGCTAAGTAAGAACAGGTGCCATTGCAGGTGAAATGTAGTTAAACCTTCTAAAATAATGAGACTGTTGCTGATTGTCACACAAGCTGTATGCAGTGTGATCTGGCCATATGCAGTGTGTGCACACATATTCCCATAAAAAGTGTCATGTGACTCGACCTAACACTAAATCTCTCTCTCTTTTCTCAACAGACCAAGACGCTACACCAGGTATTCCCTTACTGAGAAAATTGAATGTATGAATTGCATAATGTTACTGCAGTGGTAGAGCACTTTCCGATATAAAAAAAAATGTGGGTTTTTTTAGGCGGTGGGGGGGGGGGGGGGGGGGGGGCTGTGCGGGTTTGGCTGTTTGGGAAAAAAAACATATTACAAAATATGGAGGTTGGTTTGGCAAAAAGCTGTGAGGTGGTTGGACTCTTCAGTATCGTAGAAGTCTGGGGTAAATGGAATAATGCCAAGCATGGAGAGCCACTGTGTCGTGCGTCGGTCCCTTTTTGCAATGCCATTTTCTCATTTAGTAAAAATAAATAGTAAAAAGTAGTAGGCTAAAAGTGTGTCCAAGTTTAGTTGGCCTTCAATGGAGGTAACTAGGACACTGGGAAGTCTGTGAATTTGGGCAAACGGGGATGAATAAAACATCTCAATGTCCACGTGTATACACTACTGATTTTACGTAAATGGCAATCACACAAAACTTGATTTCAGAATTTTTCTCTTGCTTTTCATTTGCACCAGAACGCAAATTTGTATCATTTTAAGATTTTTTTAGGGTTACATCTTGCTTTATATAATTATGAGGACATCGAAGAAAGCTGACAAATCCTAGATACAGATTGCTATTTCTTAACCCCCCCCCCCCAAAAAAAAATTACCAAAAATAAAAATCAACCTTTTTTTTCATCAATCTGGTTATTTTCTATGGACAATGCATTGCAATGATGTAAACAATTTCCTTGTGATTGTACTAAAAGATAGTATTCATATTCTGATGACTAAATACATTTCACAGCTTTGGAAATTTAGATTTGTGCCTTTAAATAACAGGCTCCAAAAGCCACAGTTTCTTCAAAATTATTTGAGAACTAAACTCATGCAAGGAATTGCGGATCACAAGGATCCCTTTGAGAATTTTTGGTGTTGATGTGCCTTTCTTTAAAATGTTGAGATCAGTGTCCCAGAATTTTATCATCACTCTGTAAAAAACAATTATAGCGTCTATCCACAGGTTTATGGCCCTACAGAAACCATTGTTGGCAAAACTACATGTTTATCCTCCAACAAAATTCTTAAAAATTGGTACAATTTTCCACCTATTGGCCAGGATGCTAGAGCAGGCTTTTTGTTTTGTTTTGGAGGCAACTATAATAGCTACTAATACTTAGACTATTAAGTACAAATCACACAAAAATAATCGTTTAAGGCCTTCTTATACTGTTTTCTTTTTATTTATTTTTTGGTTACATATGTACAATGTTAAGCTGAACATTTTAAAATTTCTCTTTTAAATATCAATATCAGTCTGACCTCCGGTTTTAAAAACAAAATTTCAAGTTTAAAGTCAATGTATGCATATTTGTCTAATGGGGGGTGGGGTTAAGATAATACATGTATATGGAATAGGGGAATTCCCAGAGTTAGGCTTTAGGTAGCAATTTTTACTTTTTACTCTGAAATACACTAGGCTAGAAACTGATTCTGATCTACTGGTTTTTTTTTTTGGCGAAAAGATGACTAATAAATTCCTGTTAAAAAACTTGGTCTGCATTTGTGTCCCTTTTGTGTGATGTGTTTTATACGACTGTAGTCTGGGGAGACACGATGTCGTAACCGTCCAGCTGGGACGAGATTTGCTGGTCCCGAAGTAATCACGTGTTTAGGGATTGCTTCAGTATCATCACTTGTTCTTTTTTTTTTTTTGTTAAAATATAGTTTCCCGATAAAACTGTCCATCATATCTCCCTTTAACGCAAGTTTTGTGTAAAACTGATTAAAGTACATGGCAGTTCAGTCTGTTTTTGTTTCTTTTGGTACGCTTTGCTCCTGGTGGAAACAAGCATTTTCCTGTTTGTCCTCTGCTTGAAAGAGCTGTACCTTTTTGGGTGTTCCCAGTTAGACCAAATTCCCATATGCTTTCATCTGCCCATAGACAAATCAAATCTCTCCCCCCCCCAAAAAAAAAACAGGCAGGGTTTAATTTCCAGCTGTATCTTCACCATTCGTTTTTTTTGTATAAATAACTATGGAATATTATTCTGGAATTGAAAAACTTCAGTCTTGCACCATCATCTGCATCACTGTGTTGTCAAAAGTCCTGCACAGAAAAATAATCAAAGGAAATTCAGCAATGATAAGGTCAGTATTTGTATTAGAAAAGAAACATTTGATGACAACTAGGGGCTTAGCATTTTCTCTTCACTGTGTGATGCAGACATTTCCACAGTGATCTGTAAACTTTTTGCAGCTAATAAAAAAAAATGCCATATTTAAAAAAAAGGTTCAAAATTATCATGCAGTGGCTTTCACTGTCCTGCTTCAGAAAACAGTTTGGTGCCAAACGCCACAAGTAAACTTTTTACAACTAAGAGATGAGGCAAAAGATAAAACAAATCTTATTATAATGAGCAATGGACCACTTGCAACTTGCACAACCTCCAAAACAAGGGTGGAGAGATCAGTTTGGCGTTCTAGACACAAATCAAATCTTGTTTCAATCTCAAATATTGCAAAAAAGACTTGACAAATGATCGTTTGTACTCACTTTGATTTTATATTTTCTCCTGGTGTGTAGAAAGGATTGCACAGCATGTCCACATAAGCATTATGTAGCGTCTTAAACATCTTCAAGAAAAGTCAAAGAAAAGCAAAATAAGTTAAATGTGAAACCCCAGTAAAGACGACACAAAAATTTGGCCCAGCTTAGTTAACTTCTAAACATAACCAAATGGTAAATGATAGGAAATTCCAAATTGACAAAAAGTCTCATTGGATAGGTCTTTCTGAATCTCCCAAATCGGAAAGATACCTTCGCTTGGAAATTCTAGAGCCAGGATGAATCTAATGCGCGAGACAAAACAAAGGTTTACAAAAAATCCCAGAGACTCACATTTCGTATCTCGTTGTCTCTGAGTTGCATATTGGACGACTCCACAACGATGACAAACTTGACCTTGGTGTTTGTGACGTATCCATAGACTTTGTAGTCCTCTGTTGGGTACAACAGCCCCAGGTACAGCTCTCTAGGGTCGTTCACACTCTTGCCAACGGCTGACACCTTTCCTCAATGACATCCAGACATGTGTGGACGGTGTAGTGGAACTTGAGTTCATTTTCTGTCGGATTGTGGTGATGTACAATGGGTAGTTCTGTGAAAGCAAAAGTTTGGTGTGAAATAAGAATTGCACTACTGCACAGAAATAATAATAATAACAACTACAACGTTTTACTTCAAGACATTTTACTTCAAGATTTATGTTAGGAAAATGTAGTTTGGTGATAAAGGAGTCCAAAAATGGCTAGTACTAGTGCAACTAGGGGTACGTTCCACTAGTACTAGCAAACCTTGCCAAAATTAGCAATCGTTTTGAGCATACACTTGGCAAATGGGAAATTATTGGCAGCGCCAATGTTACGTTTGAGTCCAAGGTAGCACGGTCAGTAATCTTTACTTCAAAAATTCTGATATTTTATTTTAATTTATATAGAACACTAAAATGAGCCGAAAACAGCAAATTTTGATCACAAGTTCCTCAAATGAACAGCGCCCTCTTCTTTTTTTAATGTAGCCTTTGCCTTTGAATGAATGTAACATATTTACATAAACACCGTTTTGACACGGCTGCAAAGGAATCCCGCAATATTTTGAGCACAACACGGCATACACTCAACACTAAAGTACCCCTTTCAACAAGAGAAATAAATATTTAAACACGACATTAGAGTTAAAATGAAAGATTTCATACCTCTTTAGCTATCACCGCAACACAGACAGCCATCTCTGAGCCTTGTGTGTGTATAGCGCCCTCTCGTGACTACATTGAAGAAAAAAAAAAACAAGAAAAGTGAGACCGGAGGCGGAAGGAAGGAGAGCGAGCGCGAGAGACGCGAGACCGCGTCTTGATGTAAGTGAATGTTTTCCATTTCTACGCTGAATTTTACTCATATTTTTATGCTTAATGGTTACACAATATTATTTTCTAATAAAGGAACAGGCGATTAAATGATCTGTCATTTCGGAAAGAGTCGAAGCACGATTCGATTTAGCCCGACTGCGTCTGGCCGTACAGTACTATCGCAAGCTACTACAGAGCTTGCGATAGTACTGTACGGCCAGACGCCGTCGGGCTAGATTCGATTCATCCAGCATGTCCAGTCTGCCAGTAGTTGAATGGGTATGTTGTGCCCATTCTGAAAATCACGCATTCTTAAGAATGTGCATGCACATTCTTAAGAATGTGCAGCTGGATCCTTGCGCAATCTTCGCCAAAAAAAACTCTTCCAGATGAGTGCAAATTCTAAGAATGCATGCGCGGCAAGATAACGGTCTTTATGCCGAGCACCGGCTGCGCTTGGCAAGTCTAGCTGCATCTTCGTTCACTGATTCTCAATAATTATAGTAAGCGCTGAAAAGTAGAGTGGATATGATAAGTAAAGGCGTATGATATGGGGGGGGGGGGACCGGGAAAAAATAAGAGACATAATAATACTAGTGCAAAGAATCTGATTTTTGGGATAATAAAAAGGGGGGGGGGGGGGGGGGGGGGGAACGTAAGAATGAAGAATGTGAAGAATGAGAATGAATACTGCGACATCCCATAGTGCTAATGCTATCCCACCAATTTATGTTCACACCCCACCATTACGTCGCAGCAGAGCTGGATTCTATCTAGTCAAAAGAGCATTTTTGGCAGCTTCTGGACATCGTTTGTTTTTTCGTGGCATGCATATGATACATACAGGGACTTGTAACTTGTCTAGCCTAAACAAAGCACTTCCCAGACTAGTTCCCAGTCTCTCCGTTATTACAAAACTTCCCATAGTGGGCAGAAAAAAGCAAGCAATAATACAGGTTTAATTTGATTCAAATTATCGTAGTTATACGAGTACAGAAGCATAGAACATTTTCTTTCCTCTTTATATAAATTGTTCCCCTTTTAACCGCTATACATTTCATTTAAAATAATTATGTCGTGCAATGTTTGTTAAGATTTGGGCAACATTCATAAATTGTGCACGTGATATTCCCACCCAATCTTAAGAATGAGCGCTCCATTCTTAAGAACGCTGTCTGTAACTCGTTCGTTCTAGAATGGGCACTCTTCTTAAGAATGCGCGCACATTCTTAAGATTGCGTGATTTTCAAGAATGGGCACAACACATGTACAATTTTGACAGGTTGAAAATGAAAATGCACGTGTGTATGATACTTGATAGCTCCATGGTATGACCATGGAGGAAGGAAGGAAAAGCTCTATCCAAGCATCCAAGGAAGCTGCGGGCCATTGAATAAGCCAGTTCGGTATTTCAACTGCGCATGTGCACAATGGTATGGGTCACAGGTCATTCGGGATAATTGAAGCCGGGTCATTCGGGATAATTGAACGTAAAAAAAAACAAGAACAAACAAAACACAATTATTAACAAACTAGAATTTAACTTGGTTGAATCCTCAATTCAAATTGTTATTAAATTAGTATCATCTTTAACGTAAACCAAAAGGTGCTGCTCACTCTGGCTGTAGGTGCTCTATCTCAATCTGTGTTGGCTTTTATACAGAAGAGAACTTTACAAGTCACATCAGTATGAGTTTCGACTTTCAATGGAATGTTGCATACAGGGTGGTGTAATGCGTAAATATGCAATATGTTACATGTATACCATACATACATATATATCTCAACTGTATTTGGTATTGTCCCAAGTATAGTTGCTGTAGTTGGTAATACAGAGCTACATTCATGTACATTAATGTTTTGAGAAACTTGTTTTTGTTCCATAAAGGATGCAATGAAGAGACGTTTTGTACATCAATTGTTACTGAATAATTAAAATGACTAAAACACACTTCAAAGCTAGTAGGGTGAAAGATGTGTGTATACAAAATTACAATTTATAAACTTACAAATGCTATGCATAATGCACAAAAAGGCATGCTGTACATGTACATAATTTGCTGCTTCATTTTGCATGTATTTCTATCTAAGCAGTTTGCCATCTGCTGCTGTTGTTGAAATGCTTGATAACATCTATTAATACTTCGATAAAACCCAAAACATCTGTCAGAAGGCAAGAACATTGTCAGTTTGTTATACATGTGCAATAAAATTCACTGTATTTCCTTTTTTCTAAAAAGTCTGAGGAAAACATAGCGAAATGTACCAAAAGGCTTTAAGAACCAATAAAAAAAAATATGTTGCTTCTCTTAACTGTAATTAAATATAAAACCTCATTCTAAAATGAGGCTTTCAAAATACGGTACAGTCCTGAAACAAAAGTTGAGTAATTGCCAAACTTGCACAGACTGAAATGTGAATGTGTTTATCTGCCACAGCGCATCAATACTTGGTGGTAAAAAGTGAAAGTATTAAATTGATCTATGGTTTGGAAGATGCATACATTTACATAGCCTATGCTGTCATTGAAATTGCAATTTGCACTTTAGCAAGGCTAATTAGCTTGGGATCAGATCAAATAGTCTTTATGGTACTTCATTTAAATAAGTTGGAACAGGATAGCCAAAAATATTCATGGATATGTGCACACAAGAGAATAATTTAACAAACAGGTAATATTGTAGAGTTAAAGGGAATATACAATATTTGCAAACATCAAAAATTAAAACTACCAATTTGTATGGAATACCTTACTAGATTGTTAGTGAATGACAGTCTAAAGCATCCTGTAAAATCACAGCACCTGGTGTGCTGACATTTTCAAGAAAAGTGGTATTTTTTATCAATTTCAAACGATGGTCGGCCGACCAGCCTTGGAAAAAACTGGGTTTTTTTTTCCAACTACTGCCTCTAATTTTCATATTTAGTTTGCAACTGTATACAATTGATTATACCTGTATGAATGGTACAAGCCAGCTAGACTGGTTCCCTGACCTTACAATTCCCTGAAGTCTATAAATGCTCTGTTTCATCTTAAGTTGAATCAGGGAACCAGACTACAAGAACATGATTGTTTTTCTTGGTTTTTCCAGCATCTACATGTATGGACACAAAACTTTAAACAAGTCAGTGTAACAGTATTTTCTATAAAATATTAACCCCAAAAAAACATCCATTTCTGAAATTACAGCAAAAGCAAATGTTGTATACATGTATTCCTTTTAAAATGGGGTAAATATTTTACTTTTTGCACATAATTAGCAAAGTGAGCTTAAAGGACACAATACAAAACAAGGGAGAGAAAAACATTTTATTATCCTTGTAAAATGCAAACAGCTTTCCCAAATTAGCTACCAACTCAAGTCATTCAGACTGTTTTTGGCTTTACTTTAGACAAAAAAAAGAGTTGATGTCTGTTGTATTGGCCAACGGGATCAATATATAGCACTCATTTGTTACACGTGCATCTGCAGTTTGGCCTTGTATTTCATGTTTAGTATTCATGGTCCACTTGTCAATTGGATATCTCTAATGAGCCGGAAACTCAGGTATGGATTGAAACAGGTGACAGACACGTCTGCTTTGTTGTCACCATTGGGATGTGTGAATGGTAGGTATTAGAACTCACAGAATTTTTTGATATTTCTTTCCAGATTTGCACCAATAGACTTGTGATTTGTTCATGTTATACCACATAATTGCCAAGAAATCCCATAAAATAATGTTTTAGTTTTGAAATAATTTTGTTAAATTTTATAATAATTTTATCATAGTTTTATAATACTGTTGTTACCTGTACAGTATGGAGTGGAGTATAATCGAGTAGACTTAAAGGAATCGTTGAAGCATGGAGGTATGAAAGCTGGGATCCTATAGAGACCAAGTTATATGTTTGTATATATCAGTGACTTGAGATGAGTGGAGTGTGTTTCTAAAAAAAAGCTTCCTTCAAATTTCGGTGATTGACGTTGGGGTTTTAAAATAAATTGATGTAATAAGAAGATCAGTCTTGAGTTGGTACATGTACATTGTAACTGCCGTTCACAAGCACGTGCTCTATGTATGTTTTACTAGACACTTTCCCTGTTTCTTTTTTGTACACGTGCATTAGTGAAAAAAAAAGCTGCTCAACATAATGAATTACATGTGTAGTACAATCAGCTACGTCATGTATATGTATGAGCTGTGGCATGCAGAATATGAACCGCCTCCACCAACTTAGATTACGATGTATAAAATGTGACTGAGCTCGTCCATTTTTGTTCAGATAAATAAACAGTTGGAAGAGTTCAACGTCTGACCGTTACTTCACCCTCAGCTTGTGCATTAGTATTGGAAGCTGACAGTATTTGAGGGTTGGTTTCTTTGTTTATGTAGGAGATCACAGGTAAGCAGGGTCGCTTGTCGTTTTGTACTGGTTGACTTGCCAAAAAATTGAAATCTCCACATTGTGAAGCGAAAGTGAAAGTTGTGGTTAGAGTCTAGTAGGACGTAGGACTGTGCAGAATGTAC